TTAAAATCAAGCTCTGGATGTCGTCTTTGTAGATCAGGAAGACCAATACAAGTTCTCCAACAAGGAGTATATAATTTATCTGTTCCTTATTTGTATTGAATTTATAAATTGTTGTTAGCCTGGGCAAAGAGGAGGGATGGCATTTTTCTTGAGAATTGAAATATATACTTGGACTTTCTCTTTTCTAATATTTTATACTCCCTCTGTTTCAATTTATTTTGCTGATGTCAAGTCGATATTAAAAACATTGGTGATGTCTACAATAAATTAAAAAGAAGAAGAAAGGGAAAAGAAACCAATAAAGAAATTGTTTCTCTTTTAAATATTCTCTAACTATATTTTCCCCCATTTTTCACATTTGTTAGAGTGATGCCCTTACTAACTAGAATATTTCCTTTGGATAGAATGCATGGAAATGATACTAAGAAAAGAACCAAGTCTAACAAAGCAAGTAGATGATTTTGGATGGAATCCTCTCCATTTCGCGGCTTACGTAGGGTTTAAACTATCAGTGAGGACATTATTAAAGGCGGATAAACATATGGTTTATGGAACTATTAAAGAAGAAAATAGAACACCTCTGCATATAGCGGTCATCAATAATAAAATACAGGCCGTTGAAGAGATTATAGAGCAGTGTCCAGATTCCTTGGACGCAGTCACTAGCCAAGGCCAAAATGTTCTTCACATTGCATACGCGAAGGAGCATTGGAAAATGATAACATTATTCGAAGATCAACACTGGAACAATAACATCTTTGTGCAAAGAGACACTGACGGGAACGTGCCCGACGAGGTTACAGGGAACGTGTCATTTCAATCTCACCCTTCCAGGGAAGAATTAGATCGCAACAATATCAAATGGGTAAATATTTGTTTATACGATGCAAGTTTCTTTTTGGTCTTTTCCTATTAAAAACACTTATGAGTTAGTTTTACAACAGAAAAATGGCATAGTTTTTTTTAAACCAAAACTGAGATATACTTAAAACTTGAGATAAAATAATTAGAGATTTTTGACTCTATTTTCAGAAAGAATCTTATGGGAAGTGGTTCAAAGGACGCATGGAAGTATGGAAAGAAAGAGCAAACACACATTTGATAGTTGTTACACTTATATTAACGGTTTCTTTCGCGGCTGGCTTCACAATTCCTGGTGGTTACGATGGTGATGATGGTCCAAATAAAGGCATGGCAATCATATCCAAGAAAACAGCGTTTAAAGCATTCGCAGTAACAGATACCATTGCCATGATATCTTCCACAGCTGCCGTTTTTCTGCATTACCTTGCAACTTACGAGGAAGAGAACAAAAGGTTGAGTCGTTATGTAGTTGCTGGCGTCCTTGCCTTGGTTGCCATGATTGCAATGATGATAGCGTTTATGACTGGCTTGTACGTTGTGCTACCTTCTACAAGCCTAGCTATATTTATCTGTGTCATTTGCTCTTTATCGCTTGCCCTCTTTGTATTTATTTTGGGTAAGAGTTTTTATGATTCATTTCAAAAGAAAAGGAAAAAGTATTAATTACTGAAACCTAATGAGTTCTTGTCAAGAAAGTCTGTCTCTTTAGTTTCAAGCTTTTTAGCTGTTTGATTTTTTGTGAAAGCATTATGTCTATCTTCCTTGGTTTATCTAGATCCAAACGAAAATTGCTTCTGCCATTTTTTTTCTCTATGGCTTAACTTGTTTGCTAATTGCTTAACATAAAGTTTTATTTGACAACTTTACTAGTTATCAAGCTCCGGCCTGAAAGCAAGAAGTAAGGGTGTAATCAGTTGCGCACAAAAGCCATTATGCCTTTGTGCATCCATTTTCTGGCTTGTTAGCGCTGCTTTTTTATTGTAGCTAGCGGGCTTATAGTGTCTGAGTTGTTTGAAAGTCATGACACTACAGCCTACAGGCTCAGCGTAGCATCATGGTAACATTAGTTATGCTACTTAACATTTTCTATATTGAAATAGTTTAAAGATTTGCCTAAACTGCATCATTCAGAGTTGTTTGCAAGTCATGTCAGTGCAAGCTCAGTGTAGCATCATGGTAGCGTTAGTTATGCTATTGACCTAACATTTTCTATATTGACATAATTTAAAGATTTTCCTAAACTGCATCATTCATCAAGGATGACATACTAAAGATTTTCCACAACCTTCATATTCACAATCCCAAAGTCCCTTTAATGCTAACAAGTAAACCAGAATGAGTAAGAAATCTGCCAAGCAGAGAGTACTCTCAAGTGTACATTGAGAAATTTGATGAGAAGTACAACACTACTAATCGGATTTTTTTGTAGGGCCTACTAGAAAAAGAAAGGGCTCCCCTACGTAGAGTAGTATATGAGTTCGACTGAATTCAATAGTTTTGACCAAGGGTATATATTAAGAAATTCACAAATATGAACAAAAAATTAAAATTTCAAGCCCAACTATTATTCCTAGATTTCAGACCCATAAAGTTTAACTACTGGACGTGTCTCTACTCATAAGAGATTTTTTCATTTCTAGAACTCCTATTAATGTTAAAGGAATCTTATATTTAGCCTGCCATATCCCTTTATTGACATGGCCAGTATTGAACACTGCATAATACCTAATATATGAATTGATAAGTGCAGATTTCTGCATTAGAAAGAGACAACCCCTTGCATGTGCTATGACTGGATTTTATATGCTTTTTCTCTCAAGTTATTATCAATCTATAATTGACCACATTTTTTATCTTTATCTATCTAGTAATTAATGTTAGTAGACCTACACAAGGTGGTCTCAATCACAAGTTTATATTAGCTAAATACCAATTATATGTACCAACTTGTGTCCCCATGTGAAAAATTATCTTAGTAGGATCAATATGATTCTTCTACCTTTAATTAGAAGTTTCAGTTTCGAGTTTACGGATATCAAAAGCTTGATATATTTTTCTTTTAATAAGTCTTACGTGGTACAAATTCGGATAAACCAGAATCCCTTTACAAATAGAATATCGAGTGAAAAATCAAAAAAAAAAAAAGAAGAGAAACCCCATCTTATTTTTTAAATATAAAAATCCATCTTTATTCTTATTTAGGTATAAAGTTTTAGAAGTACTATTTATAAATTGCTTAGTTCTATTCACTTTCCTTTTAAGAAAAAATTCTGATCCCCATTTTCACCAATTCGATGTTTTGCTTAAATAATATCATCAAAGTCAGATTAATAAGCATTGATTTACTATGATATATTTTCATGCATTATCTGCATCAATTATCTATCTATCTATCTATCTATCTATCTATCTATCTATCTATATATATATATATATATATATATATATATATATATATATATATATATATATATATATATATATATATATATACATATATACTATAACACTTT